TAAATAAAAAAAGGCAATTTCTTTAAAAAAAAAATCGCCCAAAATCGCCAAATTTTTTTTTACATATATGAAATTCATGAAATAGAATAGTTTGTAAAACCGAAAAAGAATATAATCAGCCTCATTGTGAGAGTCATGTCGAATGTAAAACGTTTTTCGAGAGTCCAATCGTATCGAAAATTTCATGTCATTGCCCAAAATTTCGACTCGACTAGTGTATTAACACAGAAAAACTTGGCAGCACTGCATAGGTTTCGACTATTTTCGTTGTTCAGTTATTTCAGTACGACAGTATACAGTGCCAATGTTGTCGAGTCGTGCAATTTAGCCTAATTTACGACTTACGCAATGAGGCTGAATAGAATACCTTCAGGGTAAAAATAAATAGCACAAATAACTTATAACAAACAATTTTACGTATAGTTTTAAAACATATCTATATTTTGCAATAGGACTAAATTCATTATAATGCTGGATTTCCACTATGCATTAAATGACAAAACTTTAAATGGCAAAGATGGGCATTCAAAAATATTCGTGTAATTACGTTAAAAAATATACATTAAATTCATTTCCACATGGAATTTTTTAAATGCCTCCAATTTTTTGTCATTTCAATACCTAGTGGAAATTCGGCCTAACTCGTATTGATTGATTAAAAATAAAGTACAAAGCTACTTTAATAAAAAATTTAAATAAAAATAGCTAATATAAAAAATAGAAATTCAAACCTCTTTCGTGTATATATTACACCGTGCAACAGTCAATATATTCGCGAAATCATGGACCTAATATAGTAACACCGCGTTTTTAGTTGTTCTCTCTGACGTCAGGATTCTTTTCAAAAGGGCTTGGAAACTTGAAATATATGATCAATTCAGAAAAACAGTATGGATACCAAATTAAAGAGAAAATTTAGTACAATAAAAAAATAGTATATGTTTTGTGCAAAAGTACAAAAAGGTATTGAAATTTTCCTTTCAAAATTTTATCCTAGGCTCGAATCGTCACATACGATAACGTATTACTCGTCACGTAAAAACACCGTTTTCGGATTATGACATACGTGAGCGTACTCTTTATCCAATTCAGCTTATACGACTGACGGTATCACGTAATTTTCTTTCGTATGGTTTTCGACCCGTCGTGAACGGATGTTACGATTCGAGCCATATATTCGTAACCGGAACGCACTCGAAACCCCTGTCGATATAGGAAATCCGGCAGAGACTACCACAAAGAAATTGAAGCGTATGTTAAAGATAGTCAGAATGAGCATAAATATGTATACGTAGTTATAGGCCGTTTTGTTTTCTACCTGAAACAATGTAAAAAAAATTATTATATTCAATATATGCAAATGTTTTCCAATTCCTGTTCGCGCAAAACTTTGTAAGTTTCTCTCTTTGGGAGAGTAAGATACCTTACTGCCGTCCCTAAATTGGAGCGATAAGCGTTGCGTTATCCATTGTCGACGAGTGTCAGCGCGCGCTATCCCCAAATCAACGCGTCGTAATTTTTGACGTTTTCTCAGATCCTCTCGTTTTTATTCTCGTTTCCTCTTTCACTTTTTTGTCCTTTCTCTTTCTTTCCGTCTTCCGCATCCAACTTCAACACGTAACGCCCTGTCAAAAATGAAAATTCCATTTGCTCGGCGTTAGCGCCGCGTTATTGTGGGATGCTTCATACAAATTGTATGGGCATGAGGATTTTTGACAGTTGTTTGGCGCTTGACGCGCCAATTTAGGGATGGCAGT